TTTTTTTTTTTTTTTTCAGTGGCCCTAATGCTCTTCCGTATTCCTCAAAGCGTTGCTCAGCGTTTTAGTTTAGGAGCTCCATCAGGCTGCTTTACTTCTTTTTTTCTTATTGTTTATTTTTATTTCCGATGAACCAGAACAGAATTGAAGCCGTTAAATAACCAAATCCTGCATAGTTTTTACAATGTCAAATTTGTTTTTGTTTTGCTTGTTTTTTATTTCAAAAAGTGCACAAAGTATTAGAAAAAAAGCTCATATTTTCGGGGTGCTTTGATTCAAATTAGGGTAGCTTCAGCCCCCCCAAAAACAGGCTTTAAACGCCTCTGGTGCTGAAACATCCAGGATCACATCATGGAACGCTTTGGTGGAGCAGCTCTTCATCCTCTCCTTCTGGGCTTCTTCTGCTCTGCGTAATGAGAGCGTTCAGATGTTGCTGCGTGAGCGAGGAGGCCGATCGGGCAGATAGTGAAAAAATAAAACCTTTTTCTGCTCTCAGCTCTGATAATAGACGCCATTCAGTGACGACTCCCTGCAGCACTTTAAAACATCTGTTCCTGTGAATGCTGATCTGTTCCGGGTGCAAACAGACAAACACATTTCAGGAATAGAAGGCATGACTTGGATGCGCTTGTTGAGCGTTACGCAGGTTTTCTGCTCGCACAACCAGCAGCACATGACAGAAACAAGGCCTGCATTGAACAGAAGAACTGGAGCGACGCCACCATCAGTAAATGAAACAGATCTGGTTCACTGAAGGACCTCGCATCTGTTCAGGTTGGATGTCGGTCTGCAGACCACAGGGTGCGGCCATGTTTAACTGCCTGGCCTGACTCATACATCTGGGCTTTGTCACAAGATCAGTCACAGTTTTCCAAACAGAGAGGAAAACGTTTCATCAAATTTGGTCATTACTGCAGACAGTTGGGTTTCTGATGAAGAAAAAAGTCATTTATCTGAATTAAATTAATTTTCTTGCCAAACTGGTGAACGTTTTATTAGGACCAGATGTTTATTTCCCTTCTGATATGTTTAGATTGATTTATTTTTCTTACTGCTTTTATCTGATGACAGATAGAAAACAAAGATATTAGGAGCTGCTCCGACGCTTCTGTCAAAACTCTTAAATCATTTCTTGTTTCTATTTTAGACAATTTAAACTTTTCCTCTAATTTATATAATTCAACTTCTCATTTAATGTTTAACAATTTTAACTACTTAAAAAAAAGTTGCATGATTTGCAGAGAAACCAAACAGGAACCAGAACCACTCATCTGTACGGAGGGCTGGGACTGCCAACATCTAAAGGGTTGAAATAATCAATTAAAAAATTAGGTCAGATTTATAAATTAAATTATACTGATAGCCAATCGTAATAGAGTTATAAGTTACAATATTGTAAAAGTAAATGTGCATAATATCATTTATAAGGTCAATTTTATTAAATATCCATTATATAATTAAAAATATAAATTACATAATAATAAAACTAAATCTATATAATAAAATTCCCAAGTTGTCTATTGTATATTCGAAATATTATGAACAATTGAATAAAAATTGGTTTAAGGGTTTTCAGGTTCATGATGTTAAATATAGATATTTTCCACATAAATTATTTGTTTTTGTCGAGGAAACCTAAAGATTCCCAACTTTCTAAAATAGCAAACATTTCATTGGTCTGGAAAAAAAGTCCTGTTTTATGGAAGTAAGATCCCGGGAATGTTCCAGGAATGTTCCAGGAATTTTCCAGCAGAGTCTTTGTTGAAGAACAGGAGGTTTAAACTACGAAAACTCAAACATTTCAGCCATGGATCCGAAATATACCAAAGCAACAGATCGGGACCCTAAAATACACAGAATTATGTCATTTATTGATTAGTTCAAAATGTTAAGTTATGCGGGAGCAGTGGCCTAGTGGTTAGGGCATAGAGCCTGGAATCATGAGGTTCTGAGTTTGAGCCCCACTGCCACAGACTGCCAGACATGGACCCACACTGCTCCCAGGGTGCCGCACAATGGCAGCCACTGCTCCTCAAGGGGAGGGGTTAAATGCAGAGAGGAATTTTGTTGCTTTCTACTGGTGACAATGTAAACGGCTAGAATGTAGTTAAAGGTGCACCATGTAACTTTTGGCCACTAGGGGAGCTAGACCTGTACCTTTAACGTCTAGCACCTCTAGTAGCGTTTGTTTGTATCCTGCTAGCTTTCTCTGATGTATTTTGCTTCTACTCAGGGGGGTGTTACCATTAGGCAATACTAGGCAGCTGCTTAGGGCCCCAAGTTCCTGGGGGCCCCATAAAACTCTGTTTCCATGTATGGTTAATATAACTATTCCTTATTTGTCCACATTAATGATGTTTTTGATAAAAATCCTTTTTCTAAAATGCCATCAGAATGCTGATAATATTAAGTGTGTCTCAGCCCCCCCCTTCAGTGTCCACCATATTGGATCAGTCCATTTGCTGCACATGTTCAGAAAGGTCCAAACAGACAGCAGCAAACCATTTGAAAACAAACCATGCAAAG